GGCTTTAAAATAAATATATCAAGATAAACAGGTTGGTCTTTGTTTCAGGCACAATCAGCTTGACTGTTTTTTTCTTGTTGTTGATGTTCCCTAATGTTTTTAATGTGGGATGCCATTTCCTGACTACTGTCTCTGCTCCAAAAACCTGTCCTCCTTCATCAGCTGGGCGTTTTCTCTGTCTTCTGGGGTTCATATTCTGAGGTGATCAGTTTAGCACTGGTTGAGGCTAGCCACTAAGGCTTCCTCATGATCAGACCTGTTCAGTAGTCATTTTACTCTGCCCTGCACTTGCAGTGAATTACGGCTTGGGCTGGACTTTGATGAATGGTCAGCATGAGGTAATAGTTCTTCTTTTTCCAAAACGAGTGAACAGCACCTGTGGCGAGGCTAGAGCAACCCTGCTCTCACAATAAGATGTGGTTGATGTGGAAGAAACCTCCTTCTTCTGCCCAAGGAGGGAGAGACACATACAGAGGCCACAGCAGTCTGGTGCAGAGGGTGCTGCAGCAGGCTTCTGTCCAAGCAGAGTAACAACTGGAAAAATGTCATTGCATGTCCCAAGGCAAGAGGGACACAAATTCTGTGCAATTTTGTATCTGGATTAAGCAATCCCTGAAGTCAGCTTTGAACAGCACAGAAACATGCTGTGTTCTGAGTTAGTGGAAGGAAAGTTTTAGAGAAAATTGAGAAATTTTCAGAAAACTGAGACTGGGATAAATGGTTGGCTGGCAAGAGAAGTCCTATTAAAACAAATCTGACTTAAGAAAACAACCTTTAGGTTATTACATAGGCTGGGAAAGCATCAGCTGTGAGCAGTTGCAAATGTAATGTATTTAATTTCCACATTCACGACCATTAAATCATATTCCCTCTCATTTAAGGGAGGAAAAGAAAACCTTTTGCCTTGTGTTTAATTAGTGAAAAAGAATGTGTTGGCCTTTATGCAGATTGTTCCAAAGCAGATGTACACAATTCAAAATCAAGACTCAGAAGTAAGTGGGCCACATCTTTTTAAGATAAACTCACACATACCTCACATGTGTCCATCAGTTACCCAGAAACATCATGACCAAGTCTGATTTAATCAAAGATTGTGAAAGGAACCTGTATTGTTTCAGCTCACACTCTTCAAGCCTTTTCTACCTGAAGTCAGCAAAGTTCTGCCATTTGTTTCAAAAAGATCAGATCACTCACCCACTTGTGAAGCTTTACTGTTCTCCTGTTTTTAATAAGGGATGTAATTTTAATTTTTATGCTGGCCTTCAGGGATTCTGAGCTTGAAATATGGACCTGGGACATACTCTGCATTGCTTAGGAGATCTGTAAATTAGCATTTACACTAACAGGAAACGAAAGAAAAAAACAATCGATGGGGACAAACTGTCCAGAGACCTGCAAGCTTCCACATCAGGAGCTTCCTCCCAAGACTAAGCTAGAAGGGAGGTTTAGACTGAAAAAACGTTGCTGCTGGTTTGGATGCTAATTCCTGAAGTAGCTGTCAAAGAGACTGAGAGCACAAGCCCTCGATAAAAATCACAGCTGGGAAGAGGCAGCAACGCTGTGAGCACAGCTGTCAGGAGGCCGTCGAGCAGCACAGCACCAGCCCTGCACCTCCGAGTGCAGAGGGTGACTCCTTTCCCTTTCCAAGAAGCCTTCGGGCATCCTCCTACTATTGCACCAGCCTTCGTCTTTCCACGCTTGACCGTTCTGCATCGGTGGTTTCCAGCACATCTTCTTCCAAGACGCGGACTTTGTGCAGAAAAAAACAAAAATTACATTTTAAAAATCCCTATTTTTTTAGTGCCAAAGTCATTAATGATCAACACTTGTTACGCGGAACTGGTAAAACCAGTTTGCTAAAATAAAGCCGGGCATTTCGTTATTATTTTCGGGCTTAATTTAGTCATCATCAGTTACTCGGGCTCATGTTTGCAAATCACGCAGGGCAGGGACTTCACCCCTCCGGCCCGACCGGTTCTTAGAGCGCGGCCCGCAGCGCGGTGAGGGGCGGCGGGGCGAGGGGCAGGACGGCGCGGGGGGACGGGCCGGGAGGTGCCCCCGGGGGG